CGGCAATTCGGAGGATGGTCTCTCACTCCCGCTCGGAGCGAAGGACCGCCTGCGGAGGTGGGGGGGTGGTTTGTTTTTTTTTTTTTTTTTTTTTTTGGCTGCTTGGGGCAGCCAAAACCCTGAAGCCGGCCCTGTCATAGAGTGCAGTAGGGAAAGCGCTGTAGTCTGTCCACACTGACAGCTGCAAGCACACTGGCGTGGCCACATTAGCAGCTCTTGCAACGGCCACAGAGAGCAGTGCATTGTGGTAGCTATCCCAGCATGCAAGTGGCTGCAATGTGCTTTTCAAATGGAGGTGGGGGTGGGGGGGGTGTGACAGGGAGTGTGTTGTGTGTATGTGGGGGGAGAAAAAGTGGGTTTTGGGGGGGGCTGAGAGCATGTCAGCATCTTGTAAGTTCAGACAGCAACAGACCCTTCCCCCCCCCCCACCTCTCTCTCTCACACACAGCATTCCACAGTAATGGTTGCTTTGTCTCTGGCTGTCAAACGGAGCTTTCAAAGGGCATATTGGCATGCCTGCAGTGATTCCAAAACAATGACAAGAGTGGCCACTTGACTTAAGGGGATTATGGGACGTTTCCGGAGGCTGATCAGAGTGCAGTAATGCAACACCTCGTTCACACTGATGCCCGGGCGATTCAGCCAATGCCCACCAAGTGTTAATCTTCTCGCTAAGGTGGAGTACCAGGAGTGCTCTAGCCCTGGAGTCAGAGCGCTCTACGTGCCTTGCCAGTGTGGACGGGTAGTGAGCTAGGGTGCCTGGGGCTGCTTTAATGTGCTCTAAATCACAAGCGTCGCCAAGCCCTAAGCAATTTGTCCTGAATTGATACTCAGTTGTGTCCCGCCAGAGGCCGCATCGTTACAGGGGGACTGTGATCTGCGGGGTTGGAGTGGGAGGGCTGTGACCAGAGGGACTGTGATCCAGTGGGGGTGATGTGACCTGTGGGGTTGGAGTGGCTGTGACCAGGGGGATGGAGTGGGGGGCTGTGACCGGGGGAGCTCCAGGGGCCAGGGGACCCCCCTCTGGGCACTCACTCGTAGGTGCAGTTGGGAGAGATGTCGCGGAGGACGGGGTCTGGGCGGTACTGGAATGGCTCCGGGGCGGGGAACTGCTCCCCGTCTATCCACAGGGCCACGGGGACAGCATGCAGGTTGCTGGCTGCAGGGCTGGTGCAGCGAATCTCGGTGGGGCTGGAAACAGAGGACAGCACAACATGGAGACAAACAGACACCCGGCTGGGCTGCAGACTGCCCCTCAACCTGCTCTGGCCCACATGCCCCCCGGTGACCCGCCCGGACCAGCATAGCCGACACCCCCACGCTGGCCATCCCATAGCTGGGAGCGCGCCTGGCCCCATCCGTGCCCCAACAGGCCCTGGCAGTCCTGGGGCAGGAGCTCCCACCGAGGGCTCTGCCCCCCAGATGGGCCCTGGGCACTGCAGACAGACGTGGGCTCTAACACACTGCAGAGCGTCCGTGGCACCAGACGCCATCCAAAGGACCCCACATGGGTGTTTATGTATAAACATGACCTCAGTGGAGCACATACAGAGCTGGCCGCACCCAGCCACGCCCATCCAGCCACTCAGCCACACCGACCCGGCCACGCCAACCCAGCCATGCTGACCCAGCTGTTTGTCTGTGAATGAAATTTCTGAATGTCTGTCTAATGGCTCAGAAGTGAATCTGTAATTAGATCAAGCACAAAAAGAACTCATTGGTCAGGAAAATGTTTCTCAGGAGCAAATTAAAGTGGATGGTCAGGTTAAAGCCCTAACTGAGGAAGGCATGGAAAGTTTGAATGAGCCTAGGCAGCCTTGTGAGCTAATGGCTTTGTCTAATCAGCAGTTTGGGAAGGTGAGGATAGTGGAAAATAAGTGTCCCTATACCTTACCTGTTACCTGTGTGGAGAATCGTAACAGTAAAGGGAATGCACCTGTATAGAGGGAGCTACCCTGGTCTCCAAGCAGTTGTCTGTGAACAGCCCTGTGTGCTGGGACAAGGGAAATGAGATCCCAAGCTGTGTGTCTGTTAAAGGAAAATTTCAGCCTGTAATGGTTGAGTGTAGTGCAGTTGTCTCAGAGTTGGTTCTGGATTCAACTAGAGCCCAGGAAGAAAATGGTCCTAAGTTTGTGTCTGCTAGGGAGAATGGCACTGTAACTAGGTTGCATCCAGTTAGTGTCATGGCAAAATCCCCAGAGACCAGACAATTCTGGTGCTTGTATTTTGCCTGTTGCTAATGTGTGGCTGGAAAAGGGTGTAGCAACTTTGCCTGATCAGAGTAATATCCTAGCCAGGGCACGAGGAGAGCATAAAGGTGATTCAGTTGTGTTGCCCACTGACAGTTTGGAAACTTGCAACAAGTGGAAATAATTCCTAAGCTTGTGTGTGCGGAGCCTGGTAACCTGCATGTTGCCAGTGACTGTGACAAAAGTTGCAGAGGGAAAGAGAGTACCTCTAACCTTTTATCTAGTAAGTCTATGAGTTTGCCTGAAAGGGGATTGTGTAGAAATCCGCCTGATGAGCCAAAGGTGATCCTGGATGTAAGTGAAACCCATAAAGAGTCTGTTGTTGCTCAGGAAAGTGTTCCTTTAGAGCAAGCCCTAGGTGAAGAGGGTAAGGACAGAATTTCTGTGAGGGGTGAATTGTTGCTTAGAGAAGCTCCTAGGGAAAGGAATCCTCATGGTAATCTGTGCAAGCAGTTTGCCGCAATTGAAGGGTGTGGATGTAATTTAATCAAAAAGGTTTCAGTTCCTAGCAGCCAGAAATTTTCTGTTGTGAATGGATCCACTGACTTTCCTTTTGAAAGATCCAGTGTGGATCGCTTAGAAAAGGTCTCAGATGAAATGAAAATTGTCAGGGAATTTAAACAGTCCTATGACCAAGTGGCTGTGTTTGGCCAGCTTGTTGGGAAGAGGATGGTGTTGGAAAAAGAATGTCTCCACGCTAATTCTTTAGGTGAGCAGTCTGTGCTTCAGGGTCTAAGGACAGATTTAGTTACTGGTGTTTCAAAGCAGAAAAGTTTTATGGCTGAATGTTTAAGGATGCAGGGAAGAGCAAGCAAATTCTCTCCCTCAGACTCTTTGGATTTGTGTGGTATCTCTTTAAGACAGAGTCCAGCCTTGAAATTGGTAGCAGTTAATCTGAAAACTGGTGACCAGGCTCCTGTCTATGTTGATGCAAATTACCTGGCTGACAGGGAGAAGAAAGACTTGCTAATAGCTGTTAGCAAAGAGAATACACCCAATCAGCCAGTGGATTCTGTTAAGCAAAAGAAATCAGGGTTTAATCCTTCAGGACAAGGAGGGAAAAGGGAACTTAATTTTGCAAAGGGAAGCCACAGGTTAACCCTAAAATGCCAAAGTATTGAGCCAAAGGTGTGGCATGACAAAAATGATTGTAGATGGACACTGGCAATGGATTTGTTGTTATGGCTAATGGTAATTTTTGTACCTAATGTGTATCAAGAACTGTAAAAATGTACAATGTGCCTAATCTTTTGAAAAAACCCTTGAACATGTTAAAAGGAATACATGAGAACACACTTTATGTTAAAAGGCCTTGTTATACTGATGTTTAACAGTTAATGCCTGTAAACAGTATTGGAACTTTTCACAGGGGAAAAGACATTCCAGACCTGATGCGATGTATGAAAAGGGAAACTAAGGCACACTACCATATTGTTTTCACAGCTAAACGCCAAGTTTCCTATGCTATGGACAACATTAATATCTACATTATCTTGATATTAATTGGGTTCCAAACATTTGCCAGAGTTTGTATGGATAAAGTAGCTATGTTCTTTAGCTCACATGAGACATACAGGAAAAGCAAGGATCCACAAGAGCAGATCCAATCCACTATTGTTCTAGCCAAGTTTTACCTTAAGTTTGTAAAGAGATTCAATCATGTTATTGAACATGTCTTTGAGAAACCATTTCTGTTACACACTGATACAGCTAATAATTAGCTGTAGTAAGACAGAACCAAGGATGGGGAGCTCTTGGGATGCAATCAGCGATGTTTGTGTCATCCCTTCCTGCATCAATTTTGCGTTGGGGGTGTGACGTTATTGACATAAACTGTGACCGTATAGATCATTATTGCAACCACTATTACATATTTGCAGTAAATATTGTACAAATATTGTCGAGTGTGGTGTTTATGACAAGGTTATGATTTGCTGGTTATGATTATGCTGTCTGTATGTATAAGCTTTTCTGGGAATGTTCAAACTAACATGTAAACAATGGCGTCTGCCTGCAAACTCAGTCATGCATGGACATGTGACTTGCCCATGTGACTCCAAGCTCCATCTTGCTGCTGTGATTTTCCACAGTAAGAACAAAGGGGTGTCCTTCCATGGGGAAGAGAATATAAAAGGCCTTGAAAACCCCTCCATTTTGTCTTCAATCCTGCTTCTGATCTCTGGAGGAACTCTGCTACAAACTGAAACTCTGAACAAAGGACTAAATGACCCATCCCAGCTGTGGATGTACTCCAGAGACTTGATTTGAACCAGAGGGGTAGCCATGTTAGTCTGGATCTGTAAAAAGCAACAGAGAGTCCTGTGGCACCTTTAAGACTAACAGATGTATTGGAGCATAAGCTTTCGTGGATGAATACCCACTTTGTCAGACGTCATGCGTCAGACGTGGGTATTCACCCACAAAAGCTTATGCTCCAATACATCTGTTAGTCTTAAAGGTGCCACAGGACTCTCTGTTGCTTTTTATTGATTTGAACCTGCAGTTTATTCCATCACTGCTACAAGCCTGAACCAAGAACTTTGCCACTGCTGTATGTAATTGATTCCATTTAACCAATTTTAGCTCTCATCTATAATTTCTTTCTTTTTCTAAATAAACCTTTAGATTTTGGACTCTAAAGGATTGGCAACAGCGTGATTTGTAAGATCTGACTTGTATATTGACCTGGGTCCGGGGCTTGGTCCTTTCAGATAAGGAGAACCTTTTTTCTTTTACTGGGATGTTGGTTTTTATAACCATTTGTCCCCATAACGAGTGGCACTGGTGGTGATACTGGAAACTGGAGTGTCTAAGGGAATTGCTTGTATGACTTATGGTTAGCCAGTGTAGTAAAACCAAAGTCCTCTCTGTTTGGCTGGTTTGGTGTGCCTTAGAGCTGGAGAACCACCAGCCTTGGGCCATAACTGCCCTGCTCTAAGCAATTTGTCCTGAATTGATGCTCTCAGTGGTGTCCCACCAGAGGGAGCATCGTTACAGCCACACCCAGCCATGCTGACCCGTGATGACCAGAGAAACTCCAGCTGAGAGGCCAATTCAGGCAAGGTAGCCCCCAGACTTCTCTGACCTACCCCTTCTCAGCTGGGCCGCTCACTGTCCAGCTGTCGAATATGAAGTTTTTAGCTACAGTGACCTAGAGCCGATGGCCCAAGCCCAGCCCCCCCAAGCCAACGCAGCAATGAGAGCTCCATGCTTTCTGTACCTCTGCTGCCCCGCCACGGGGCACTCTGCCTCTCCGAGCATCACCCTCCAGCTGCTGCCCACGGTCAGGTTTCGGCCCCAGATGGAGAGCTGGGTCCCGCCGGCCAGCGGGCCGTACACAGGGCGGATGGCAGTGACGTTCGGCACCTGTGGAGCCACAGAGGGCACGGGGCCTTTACCAAGGGAAGTGGGGGGCAGGTCATCCCCAGAGGGGAACCTCTCCAGCATGCTGCCCGCTGGCCGCCTCCCTGCCAGACACAAAGCATGGCCCAGGGAGAGGGTGAGCCTCTGGGGAGGGCCCTGCCTCTCTGGCACAAGACGGGAGGCCAGGGCAGGGCTGCTGCAGTGGAGCTGTCTCCATTGCACATGCTAGGGCTGCTCAGTGGCTGCCATAGGAACTCCATCAGGGAGGGAGCTAGCCACAGGTTCAGCCTAACCTCCAATGAGGGAGGGGTGGTGATGGGACGGTGTGGGGCGAAGGAGAGGTGCGCTGGGTGTGCCAGGGTGCGTGTGTGTGTGTGTCCCAGCTGGGCACCAGGCCCTGCTTACAGGGGGGCTAGGCCTGACACATGATAGGGACAAGCCGCTGGCTGGAGAGCAGGCGGGGCACTCTGCCAACCCTGCTCCGGGGGCTGCCGTCCTCGGGATCCCAGCTGGCACTGGGGGGCGGCACTCCCAGACAAGCCCCATTGCCGACCCCTGGCTCCGGCCGGGAGGGCGACTCTCCTGGGGGGCTGTCCCTGCAGCTGGGAGGCGGGCAGGGGAAAGGACGTACCACAAAGATGAAGCCACCAAGGGATGAGGAGCCACTGACGTGGAAGGGCGGGTCCCTCGTCTGCTCCTCGATGGTGAGCTGAACCGTGACAGGCCCCGTCACCACCTGGTCAATGCTCAGCTCCAGCTTGCACACCAGCACGTCTACAGCGGCCTTGGTGGGGGGCAGCACGGGGGGCCTGCGGGACACAGCAGGGAGCACTGAGACACGGGGGCAGGCCCAACCCCCCACCCCAGCCAGAGAGGACAACAGCAGGGCCCACACCCCTGCCGTCACCATCCGCAGAGCAGGGGCACCAGCCGGGAAGCGGCTCTCAGAGGGAAAGTCACTGGACTCTATCACCAAAACCACCCTGGTAATCACTGAACGCCTCTGGTACAAACCCCAGTGGGTGCCACCAGCTGCCCGTGCTCCGGGTCTGACGGCAAACCTGCTGGTGCCCCTCAGTCCTGACCCACAGCCCCTCTTGCCCATATTACTCCAGCCCCCTCCTAAAAGGCCTGGTTGCTTGGGGCAGTGGCTGCATGACATGGGGCAGAACTCGCTGGGGTGCCAGCACTGGTGACTCGGGCCATGGGGAAAGGCCGGTGGCTGCGTGCCTGGAGGAGCTGATTCCATCATGCACTGCCAGCCCGTTTCCACTCGGGAAAGCTGCCAGCTCCTGGCACCGGTATGTGGAGGGGCCCCACCTTGGGAGATGTTGCAGCTCAAATGCGGACAGAGCAGGGGCCAGGATCATACTGCAGAGAGAGAGGCCCACCGGGGGAGGGGAGGGGATGAGAGAGGGAGCTGACTCAAGAACCACCCCGCTCTGCCTTCTCTCTGCTACCTAAACTGGGGGAGGTCGGGGGGGGGTGCTCCAAGCACCCCACAAGCTGAATAGGGAAGGTGCCTCTTCCCCCTCCCCACCCATGTTCTGAGCTGCCGCTGGCCAGGAAGGAAGGCCCTACCCCCAGGTGAGTCAGCCGGAGAAACCTCTATCCCCAGGTCAGTGGCAGCCCTGACAGCAGCCCCGGATCCCCACCACCACCCCCTACCTCCTGCCCAGGCTCTCCTCAGGCAGCACGGTGCAGTCCCTCTGCCCCACCGTCACCCGGTAGGTGCTGCCGGCCACGGGGGACCCGACGGCGGCAGTGAAGTGCCGGCGTGACTGGAAGCCCATCCCGCAGAGCGTCACCCGGGTGCGGCCATGCAAGGGGGCGCTTCGGGGGTGGAACTGAGGGGAAACAAGGCAGAGTAACATCCCCGGCCCATCCCAGCTCTCCACCCTCGGACCCCCAACAGCAGCACAGGGCTCACCCACCCAGCTCACGGGCAGCAGGTGGGCAGCCCTGGTGGGGAAGGAAGGGTGCAGGCCAGAGGCTGGCCCTGTGGCAAAACTACTTGGTGAGCCCTGGGCCATGGCGGGAGGCATGTCCAATGGCAGGCTGAGGGGACCCCCCAGCGCACTGACAGGGCAGCAGCAGATGGCATTGGGAGCCGTGCCCACCCTCCCCTTGTCCAAACCCACCTGTTGTCCCTGCGGCCACCACAGCCTGCGCTGAGGTGATGGACCCAGCGTGGTTCACATTCCGGGGACCGAACCAGTAGCCTCCAGAGTCCAGGGCAGGAGCTATGACAGCGCAACCTGAAGAGCTCCCCAGCGCTGAGGTGGGTTTGAGATGGCCCCCAAGCAGCAGGCTGTCCCTAGGGGGCCTCTAACAGCTCCCTGCCCGGAAGGCTGCCCTGAGTGGGCCTGTGACAGCTCCCCACCCAGCAGGCCGCCCCAAGGGGGCCCATGACAGCTCCCCGCCTGGCAGGAGGCCCGTGGAAGCCTGTAAAAGCTCCCGACCTGGCAGGACACCCGAGGGAGCCCATGACAGCTTCCCACCCCACAGGACACCAAGGGGGCCTGTGTCAGCACCCCGCCTGGCAGCACACCCCAAGGGGCCTGGGACAGCTCCCCGCCTAGCAGGACGCCCGAGGGGGCCTGTGACAACTCCCTGTCCGGCAGGACGCCCTGAGGGGGCCCATGGCAGCTCCCTACCTGGCAGGACCCCCTGAGAGGGACCGTGACAGCTCCCTGGCAGGCAGCAGTCCTGTGGAAGGGCAATGCTGGGAAAATAACCTCTTCCAGTACTGGAGTTTATAACTTCTTCTAATGCAACTTGGCAGCTGGGCATGAGAAGGAGATGCCCGCAAGTGCTGCATGGATGCCGGCCAAGGTGCCCCCGGGGAAGCGTCTGACCAGCCATCCAGGGACTCAGATGAGGGGGAAAGGAGGCATTTCCCCATTGTGACGCTCTGTACCTCGGGGGAACACCCTACACCCCCATGTTCATCTCTATAAAATGATTGTGTGGTATCCAATGCAAAGTTTGTCATGTTGGGTGGCTTCGGAAGGCTCATGATGCACTGAGCATGGTTGTTATAGTGATGTTATACTAATTGTTACAGTAATGTTATAGTAAGGTTATAGGTTATAACTTCATGTATATAGTTATGAGGCTGAAAATGTATCCTCATGGCTTAGAACAAGCCTATGCAAAAACTCTCCAAGAGCAGAGAGGCAGTTCACACCTTGTCAGGGCATGGATGGGACAAACCCAGCCCAGCCTCACAGGAACAATGGACACTGGCTTAGGCAGGAACAAAAGAATCTGTTGGACCCTCGAGGGAGTCACCCCCTTCCTTTGTGCAGTTTGGGACTGCGATGAGGTAATGCACACCTGACTGAAGTGGGGGGGGGGGAGCCAAGAGGAAAGAAAGGACATGATAAAAGGGAGAGAGATTTTGCCATGCTTCCTCTCTCTCACACCTACATCTACAGACACCACCACGCGACTGAAACGCTGATCAAAGGGGAGAGCCTGACAGAAAAGTAACCAGCCAGCCTCTGGTGAGAAGCATCTATGTTTTTAAGGACACTGAAAGTGTTAGGATCAGCTTAGAATGCATTTTGCTTTTATTTCATTTGACCAAATCTGACTTGTTATGCTTTGATTTATAATCACTTAATCCATCTTTGTAGTTAATAAATCTGTTTGTTTATTCTACCTGAAGCAGTGCATTTGGTTTGCAGTTTGTCAGAGGCTCCCCTTGGGATAACAAGCCTGGTACATATCAATTTCTTTGTTAAACTGATGAACTTATATAAGCTTGCAGTGTCCAGCAGGCATAACTGGACACTGCAAGACGGAGGTTCCTAGGGTTGTTTCTGGGACCAGAGATATTGGCTTGTGTCATTCGTTTGCAAGTAGCTGGGAGCAGCTTACATGCCAGAGGCTGTGCATGAACAGCCCAGGAGTGGGGGTTCTGACAGCAGAGCAGGGTAAGGATGGCTGCCAAAGTCAAGGATTGGAGTGACCTAGGAGATCACCAGTCCAGATAACACCAGAGGAGAACGTCACACCCATGTTAACAGAGATGTTTTTAAACCGCTTGCTGCCATCCCATGGGTCACAATGTTGGTGAGTTTGAGGCCTTCCCCTGCCCTGCGTCTGTCTGCTCTGTCAGCTGATCAGGACAGCTATCTGTTACCCTGGGTGTGTACAGCACCCAGCACAGCAGAGCCCTTATCCTCACGTACTGCAGCAATACGGAGCCTTTGGTGTAACCAGTCCTTGCCGGGGAGCTGGCCTTTGGCAAGGTTGTGGGGGAAGCTGAACTAACAAGCACGCTCAGGAGCAGCTGCTAACCGGCCCCTCTGCCCTGTTTGAGTCTCTGCAGGAGGGAGGTGGTGGGAGAAGGAGTTTGTTTTTGCAGAGGACCACGTGTAACCTCGTCTAGCAGAAAACTGCCTGGAGATGACCCTAGCAACCGGTGACCTGGTGACCAGGAGGCCCAGCCCAGCTTGGCAGTCAGCTGGTTCTGGCCAGTGGGAGGACAAAGGGCTGAGGAGAAAGGACCCCGGTGACCTGACCAGCCAGTTCCAGCCAGTGGGGAACAAAGGATGGAAGAGAGGAGCCCCAGGCGACCTGTTTAGCTGGGACCAAAGACAAAGGACAGGGGAGGAGCTGTTGCGGGAGATGATATAGGATGATCGGCAGGAAGGAGGGGGCTTCTGAACTAGGGAGAGAGAGCAGCCAGAGCCCACCTGGATGCAGGAGAGACCTAGATGTACAGTACTGAGAGCTGCTAGGCCTGAGGGTCTGGAGAGTTTCCTGTGCTGGGTTCAGATGCTCAATAAACCCTCATGTTTTACGCTGGCTGAGAGTCACTCCAGTCTAGAGATCAGGGCTGCATCATTCCCTCTGGGGGTGGAGGCCCTGGGGGTCCAGAGTGAGTGGACTCCCTGAGGGGACCCACGGCAAGAGACAGGCATGCTGAAGGCTCAGAGAGGTGCAGTTCCAGGGGCCTACGGATTAACCCCCGAGACAGAGCAGACTCCAGAGAAGGGTTGTCGCACTGAAGGCAGTTCCTCCCAGGGACTGTATGGAGCCAAGAAAGAGCACAAGTCCTGGGAGTCTATGATATAGGGCAGTTACCTTAGACCCGAATGAGAGGGCACATGAGAAACGGCAATAAAATATTGCCTGATCTAGGGAAGGGAGGATGGGGCAGAGGACAAACAATGACATTAAAAGATGGGACATTCAAACCAATAAAAGGCAATACTTCTGCACACAACATGTGAGCAGACTGTGGAACTCACTGCCACCAGAAGCTACAGAGGCCAGGAACTTGACAGAATGCAAAAAGGGATTGGACATGGGCACGGACAATAATAGCCAGAGCTGTCATAATTAATAACAAATCTGGCAGGGATATTGAACCTCCTGCCTCAGGGCTTAAGCCAACCTATTAGAGACCAGGAGGGGACCTGTGTGCGGAGGGCTGACACCTCTGAAACCTCAGCGCTGGTCCCTGGGAGTCTGGGCCGGACAGATCTCTGCTCTGACCCAGTCTGGCAATGCCCATGTTCCTCTGATAGGCGACAAACCCCGCCCTCTCCCCCCAGCCTGGCACAAAGCCAGTCCCAGCCAAGAGCAGCATGTCCCCTGCCAGCCCCCCTTGGGGGAGGGAAATGCCCAGGTTACTGCAGAGCTAGGAAAGGGGATTGGGGGTGAGCACGAAAGAATAGCTGGGTCAGTGCAGCAGCCAGGCAGCACCACTCCCTCCAGGGCAGGATCGGCAGCGGGTGTGTTTTGGGTCCAGGGCCCTAGGGGCTGCATGTATCAAGGTGCACCGGAGAAAGCAGAGTGCAAAGCGTGGGCCCGAGACAAGGCAAGAGCCAGCGCAGCATACGAGGAGGAACAGGAGGGACAGCGCGGGGGACGGTGCAGGGGCCTACGTCAGTGAGGATGGGAGGGCAGCTCTTTTTGGTCCATAGTGCTGCGCAGTCCTCCTGCCGAGTGCACACACCCCCACACCAGCCGCACCGCATGAAGCGCTCCGCCCGCAGGCAGCGCTGGCATGTCAGGAAGTGGCGGCAGCCTGGGCCGGTGATGGCAACTTGAGACACCTTCAGGGAAAAGGGAGAATGTCAGCATGCAGGACCAAGGCTCGCGGAGATCTCGGGGCAACCGCAAAGCACTCGCTGAACGGGGACCTCCACACCAGGAGGGAAGGACACGGCCTTCCTGCAGCTGGCATGCCCCTGGGCACAGCCACTGCTGTCTCCCAGCCACGGGTGAGGGGCTGCGATGAACCCCGCGGCCCAGCCAGCACATCTCCCCAGGACTGACCAGCTGGCGGGATGGCCGGGTCAGCAGCCCAACGTGCAGACCACCTGCCTACACCCCACAGCACTCGGAGGCGGTCCAGGGCTCCAATCCCATTTGGGGCGAGGGCACAGAGTTGGTTCCCGACCGGGCGAAGTGGGAGCCCCCAGCCCAGCAAGGTCGGGGGCGAACGCTCGCCTGTCTCACCTTGTTTCCAGTGGCAAAGAGCAGAGAGTCCTGCAGCAGGCCAACCTCCCGCAGCACCGGCAGCTCCTTGCCCAGGGAGAAATTGGCCAAGGTGACGGTGTAGGAGCTGGATCGCTGAAGCACCACCTGAGGGGGGGCAGTTGGCCGTGTTCAGAGAGCGAGCGACCCCAAGGAAAGCCGGAGGACATGGCCCAGCCGACCCCCGCGGGAGGAGAGCAGCACTGCCCTGGGCGGGGCACCGTGCCCCGGCTCCCTGCAATCCCAGGGAAGGGGGGGGTCTACAGTGTCCGCATGGCCCCCCAGTGCTGCTCAGGCCCAGCCAGTGGCCTGCCCACATGGCTGGATGGAGGCAGCTGACTCCTCCAGGCCCAGCCAGCGGCACGGAGAGAGGGAGAGCCTACGGTAGTGGCAGCACAGCAATAGCGCCAGGGAAAGGGATGGAGGTACTTTGGATTGGGCACAGTCCAGTCATCCTCACAGGTCATTGTGACTGGCAGCCAGCCACAGAGCCCCAAGTCCAGGCATGATTTGCCCCATTTCATCCGGCCCGTGCCAGTTCCACGGGACGGACGCCCCGCGTGAGCTTTGGAAACCGCTGGAGCATCCCAGGGCGTGTCGCCCCCTGCTGGAGGGGCTGGCATTGCAGCTCCCCCTGGAGTGGATACGGGGCACAGCCATGGAGCCTGGCACTGCAGAGCCTACCTGCATGATGCGCCCCTCCGCCGTGCCCAGGTGGGCGACCGTCACATTGCCCTGGGCCATCACAAAGATGGAGGTGAGCAGGACTCCGGCCATGTGCCCATTGAACAGATCTACCTTGTAGGGGGCCGTGGTGACCAGGGTGGGCTTGTTCCAGCAGCTGGTATCCACCACCGGAGACGAGAGGTTCACCTGGGACATCGCACAGCGTTAGCTCCCTGTGGCACCTCCACCGCCCCCCTGTCTTCTTCCTCCTCCCCACCCCCCCCGGCTGCCCGGTGTCACACATGGACCTGCCTGTGCTCCCGCTGCATCTGGGGCCGCTGCCCCCGCCCTGCCACTCACTGCTCCCTCGGCCGGCCACCCGTGGGGAGGGAGCAGCTGGGGGGAAAGGGGACAAAGGGGACAGGGAATCCACTGCTGGCCCCAGCCACTTCCAGCTACCCCCTGCCCGGCTTCCTCCCGCCACCACCAGCAGTTAGCTCCACATTCCCACCTATACACCCCAACCTCCCAGTACCACCCAGCCCCCCCCATACACCCCCTGCACCCCGTTCCACCCAGCACCCACCCATACATCCCAACCCCCCAGCATCCCAGTATCGCCCATATACTGCAAACTCCCCAATACCACCCAATCTCCCAACCCTCCATACACTCCAACCCCCCAGCATCCCAGTACCACCCATACACCCCCAACTCCCCAGTGCCACCCAACCCCCATACACCCCCTGAACCCCAGTACCACCCAGCCCCCCAGCATCTACCCATATGCCCCCAACCCTCCAGCATCCCAGTATCACCCATATACCAACTCCCCAGTACCACCCAGCCCCCACCCATACACCCCCAACCCCAAGTACCACCCAGCATCCCAGTACCCACCCATACACCCCAACCCCCCAGCACCACCCATATACCAACTCCCCAGTACCACCTGCACCCCCATTCACCCGCTGCACCCCAGTACCACCCAGCCTTCCAGCACCCATCTATACATCCCCCAACTCCATAGCACCCACCCATACACCCCCTAACCTCCCTCCCCACCCCCATACATCCCATCTTCCACTACGGGGTGCATTGCCCAGAAGCTGAAGTTGATGCAATCGACAAATATGAAATGAACTCAGTAACTGATTGGCCCAGAACATCCCCCATGGTGCTATACAGAACTTGGCACCTGCGGGTGTGGGTAGCCTTTGGGCTTGGTGCTGGCCGGGCGAGGAGAAGGGGACTCCCCTGATCTCCAGCTCCCCTTTCTGCAGAAGCCCGGGTCAGCTGGGAATCACCAGCAGCGAGGGAGGACTGGCCGTTAAGCCGCAGACAAGAGATGCTGCAAGGGAACAGATACTGCTGGCAGCTGCAGGGGAAGCAGCAGCTCCTGGGCACCTGGATGGATGCTGGGCAGCTGCCAGGAAATTTTAGAGCTGTTTCCCTCGCAGGGAAGTCTCTCTTGGGATAACGGGCAAACTCCCTGCCTTGATCCCAGAGTTTCCCAGCCCCGGGGCGGGGGAGGAGGTTGGACTGCCCAGGGAGGGGCAGGCAGGACAGATGGGAGAGGGGCAGAGGAGTGGAGGTGGCACAGCCGCAGGGCAGCTTCTTGAAAACATCTTCCCCTGCCCCTGCGGCACATGGCCCTGATCCAGCTGGCCAGAGACACAGCTCAGCGGCCCATGCTCCGTATGGCTGCTCAGAGAGATAATGCCTGGGCTGATCATCCAAGTCCATCCACAGAGCAGGTGACTTCCCAGCCAGGGCGGGACAGGCAGGGACGGAAGCTGGAACAGTGCCAGAAGTGGGTGGGGAAGACGATAGAGAGGGGGTGATGCCTGTGCCAAGGCATGGAAGGAGAGGCCAGCCACCCACCCGATGCAGGGGGTGGCACAGAGGTGAGTCACTGTCCAGCCACGTGCTCTGCACTGTACAGGATCCAGCCCCTGCCCTGGAGGAGCTGAGCGCTGTACAGGGGCGGCACTGAGGTGCAACTCTCCCCCAACTCCTCCAGCAGAGAGCCAGAAGACCAAAGCCATGCAGCACTCTGGAGGCGTGATGTGCAAGCCGCTCTTGTGACACACACACTGCCGGATGGAGACCTCCTGCCCTGGGACCAGCAGCCAGTGAACCGAACCTGAGCTGCCAGAGCCAGGGGCTCCCAAAGGAAGCTGATGATCAGGGCGTAGGATGGACAGGGAGAAGGACAAATGTCCTCAATGTTCCAGGCCACACAGCAGCGCCCTTGGAAACCCTTCTCCATCGCCTGGCCCAGAGCCACATCCATGGGCCTGGCATGGACAGCCCCACAGGGAGGCTCCATGGGATCTGATGCAGGCCATCCCTGGGAGTGAGGCCGCTACTGCTAGGGCCCTGCTAACTAGTCACCCGACGGGCAGGAGGGACCGCTGGCACCAGCACTACCTCAGCAGGTGGGTCAGAACACACTGGTGCAGATTACAACTGGAGCAGGGTGGCACATTAAGCCTGTGATGGGACTTTCAGGACAGGGGTCACAGGAAGCAAAGCTCCCTCTGGCTACAGCCAGAGGTCCCGGAGATGAAGACACAGTGCTTCTGTCCTGCCTCGCATTGGCTGCGTATCATTTGCTATCCCGCTGTTGAATCCACAGGCAGCTCCTAACTTAAGGCCTGTTTGCCTCTCGCTTGCGCGGCTTAGCTGTCTCACCTGGAGTCATAACACCCACCCCTTCCTCCACGCGCACCAGCACCCGACCCAGCTGGAGCAGGCAGCCCAATTTCCCTGCCTTTAGGACTTGCACAGCTCCAGGCAGCTGCTGCAGAAGAGGAGGGCGGTCGACTGTAAACAGAGCATGAGTTCATGCCAGGCGCTCTTGGGAAACGGACAAGACATCTGGCAAGAGTTCAGACTCAGGGCCCTCCCACTCCCGAAGCAAGGGCTTGAGGCAAAGGGCTTGGCCTGACCCCATGACACACAATAGTGGAAGGAAGGAGACGAAGCTGGTCCAAAAGGCCACAGCAGCCTCCGTGGAGGGAGGATTTTCCATCACACTCCCAGGAAATGTGGTGGGTTCCCATTTCCTCCAGGGCAGAACTCCCAGGAGATGAAACCAGGGAGGGGCGAGGGATCTAGCTGAGATCATGGCTCGGTACACAGCCTCAGGCTGGGCTACACTTAAAAATCCGATTGTCCCAGCGACTTCACTCGGCTGGGAAAACATCACCCCAAGCACCGTAGTTATGCTGGCCTAACCCCTAATGCAGTCACAGCTAGGCTGACAGAATTCTCCCTTTACCTAGCTACCGCCTCTCAGAGAGCTGGATTCACTCCAGCCATGGGAAAACCCCTTAGCTGGCACAGGAAGTGTCTAGGCTGCAGCTCTACCGGGCCACAGCTGCAGTGCTGTAGCAGTGCAGCCACAGATACCCTCTGGCCCACCCCTCTCCTCTACCCAGAATGGAGCTACAGGCTAGGCACAAGCACAGCCAGTCACAGGGCAAAGGGCTGCCCTGCTGCGCCCTATCCCAGACAGCCTCCGCCTCGCCTCACCGTCCCCCCTCCACACCCCTGCCACCCGCAGCATTTCACAGCCTCCAGGGGCTGAAGTTCACAGCCTCTGGTTCTTCCTGCAGGGGGATCAGGTGACAGGGTGCTTCCCCCTGCACATCTGCATCTGCTCAGACAAAATCCAGTTGTGCTCTGCTACTGGCAGACACAGAGTCCCACTGGGAAGGAGCACTAAGAGCAAGGCTACAGGAGGGGCTCCCAATGGGGCACCAGTCGCCAGCACTTCCCATCTTCGCAGTGCGGCACACGACAAACCATGGCACAGGAACACCAGGGAGGTTACACAGCCTGGCCCTCAAACGTTAGGAAACAGATCAAAGGGCACCCGTGCGGTTTGAATTCAGCCCCTGGGGTGACTGCATTACGCTGCAGTCTTTAATTACAGGATCGCCGTCCAACTTCCCCACGGGCTAGCGTGTCATGGCTGTGCCCTAACACAGACACACAAGGGGCCAAAGGCTTTCAAAAAGCAAACTGCAAATCCAGAAATGCCATCTTGTGGCATCATACTGAGCCCCAGTTGGGTGACCAGCAGGGTTGGGACTGTTAGATGCACTGCACAGACCTCTGCCCCTGGAGCAATCCACATCAGTAGTAGGTTGTCATTCTCTCATGGGCCAGGGGGATGAGACGCATGCTTTGCTGGGGGCTCCCAGTTAGCTGCTGGTGGTAGAGGAACAGTGAGATGCAGGGATCTCTGCTTCCATTCCCGGGCCTGGAGGGGAGCCCAGACTCTTCTGCAATTTTTCCCAAGCTGTCCCATCCCCTCCAACCTGTCCCAGTCCTGTCTCTTCCCCACCCAGGCTGTCTCCAGTCCTCAGGCTTCTCATACCAGTCCCTGTCTCCTTGCCCAGCCCATCCCAGTCCCTCCTCCAGCTAATTGTCCAATCTGTCTCTCTCCTACTCCCAGGTCTGGTGCCCTAGACCAGTGGTCCCTAACCTTTTGCATCTGGCGGGTGCCAGACGACGAGCCACAGAGGACCGTGGCGGCGGACGAGCATTCGCCAAAATGCCGCCAACAAGCAGCAGCATCCAGAGGCAGTGCCACCGAAATGCCGCCGAAAATCGGCGGCATTTCAGTGGCGACACCTCTGGATGACGCTGCTTATCGGTGGCATTTCGGCAGATGCTCGTCCGCTAGCCAGTACGCAGGTGCACCTAGATGCCCTGGTGGGCGCCATGGCGCCCGCGGGCACCGCGTTGGGAACCCCTGCCCTAGACTCCCTTCCCACGCTCCTCAGCTAGCCTGTCTCTACTGAATCCCCCTGCCAGCCCTATGGCCCAGTCTCTTGGCCTACCGAGTCGCAATTCTCCCCCGTACCTAGCTCCTCGTCAGATCTGTCTCTATCCCCCCGCATTCTCCTTGTCCAACTAGCCCCAATCCCCTAGCCCCTCGTCCGACCTGAATGCCTCCCTCAGTGGCTCTCAGTCCTCATTTCCTTGCCCAAGCAGTCTCAGCCTCCCCCACACACACATTCCAGGCCCAGTCACCCCACCCCAGTCTCAGACTCCTGGTCCCAGGTTACTCCTTCCCCTGCCTCCCAGGACTGGCTCTTGCCCCTCTGCATTCAACTCAGCTTCCTGCTCCCCAAGGCCTGGCTGCCAGCAGGGGGGCTCTGAGAGCGCACAAGAGCCCGGCTCCTGCCCTC